AAGAGTGGGTTCCAATGGAATAGCAATGAGTTGCTTTGGGGTTTTCTTCTCCCTATTGCAGAGCAAGAATTCTACTACCACGTTCGAATCCACCAGTTGCTTCACAGGAGAAAGAAAGATGGACAATCTCCTCCCATGAGATTTACCGTCTTTAAAAACCCATTGGAGGGTCTGCTGTGTGTCAGGTCTGACTTTATGGGAAACAACAACAGGGGATCTTTAGGGAGCTCTGGTGGCCTAATGGCAAGAAGCTGCACTGCAATCCCAAAGGCACCTCGTTTGAGGCTACCAACTGCTCCTTGTGTGATTAAATGCCTCTGAATTATCCCCCCACCCTCAACCCCGCCATGAGGGTCAGCTGTGGGTTGGTTCCGACTCTACAGCACTCAACGGGATATTTTGGACTTTGAATTGCACAGGAAACTCTTTAGGAGTTATTTTATTCCCTTCTCACAATAAAAGACAGATCAATATGACACTGAATTCTACAGAAGAGAAAATTATGGGCCAAGATTACATCTTTATAAGGAGCAAATCCAGCTCTGCCCCTGGCATTTCTCCTTCCCTAGAGATGAGACTTCGTTTTCCAGGAGGAGGAATATTCAGGATGAAATGAAATAGACCGTGCTTGAGGGCAGCATTTATCTTCCCCTCTTCACTACGTCATTCATCTGGAAAGTCTGGTCCTATCTTTAGTAGAATCTTCAAATACGTTCAAAAATAGACATTTTCAGAAAAAGACTAACATTTTTTTTTACTCTACCCTACATTCATTGAGATCCTTACAGTTTTTCATTGCATCCCAAGTATGGTTGTTGTTGTTATTGTTCTGTGCCGTCGAGTCGCTTACAACTCACAGCAGCCCTATCAACAATACTTCTGAACCCTGCTTTATCTTGAGCCAACCATTATTAGAGCTTTAGAAAATCATTTAATATCTCAACTGATGCTTTTAGATTGCATGTTTCCAGGCTATAATCTTACCTCTGAAGAATACTAATCCATGAAATCATGTAAGAAGAAAGGGCCAAGCCTTTGGTTTCCTTTCCATTTGTCAAAGATAGATAGGCAATCTCCTTTCATGTTATTTATTGCTTTAAAAACCCAATGGGAGGTAAATTATGAGTTAGTCCTAAATCAGCGACCATTGAGTATCAGGTTAGGGGTCTCTTTCTCTCCCCTGGATACCTGATGTATGGGAGTATTTGGATGGCAGGAAGGTCAAGGATGACTCAAAGGTTGAAGGGAGGGATGTATAGTTTCCTTGATAAAAGTACTATTTTAGTTATACAGAGGTGCTGTAGCAGAAACACCATAAATGGGTAGCTTTAACAAATTTCTTTTCTCACAGTTGAAGAGATTGTTATTGTGTACTATCAGTTCAGAACTCACCCACAGTTGACCCTCCAGTGAGTTTTCAGAAGCAGTAAATCATATGGAGGACACTTCTCATCCTTCTCCCTTGGAGCAGCTGGTAGATTCGAACTGTATGCCTTTGGGATTGCAGTGTAGCTTCTTACCACTCGGCCACCAGAGTGACTAACAAATTTTTTTTCTTCACAGTTTATGAGATTAGAAATCCAAACTCAAAGTGCCAGTTGTAGGGGAAGTCTCTCTGTCAGCTCTGCAGGAAGGTCCTTGTCCCTTCTGACCTTCTCCCCTCTGCTCCCTTACTCAGTCTCTTTTCTATTTCATAAGAAATTGACCCAACATACACCCTCCATTCATCCTGCCTCACTAACAGGACAAAGACACCCATTACCAAATGAAAACCAGAGACACACAGGTTGGGATTTAGAACACATATTTGGGGGACAAATCCAGTCCATTACAGAGATCTAGCATGGAAGGGAACATGCTACATTCCTAAGTAAAAGTTCCCACCCCCCAAACTCTGGAACAATACTCATCCATTAAAATTAAAACTATTTACTACACTTCCTAGAGTTATCTGAACTAAAAGATTATTTCATTTAGAAAGCTTGGGGGGAAAAGCCAAGATGTCTCAATCCCAGGCAGCACATGGGGCAGAGAGGAAGGAGGTCGACAAGTATTTGAAATCACTGCAGTGGTTACCGTGTGACTCTATTGTGCTGACAAGGCAAAAATGATTCCCTACTGTCCCTCCTAATCTCCGGCCAACTCATTCCTCTGTTCATGTTCTAGGTCAGCGAGGCTCGATTATTAGATCATCGATTAGTTCAGAAGTCACACAGTAGACACGTTTTGTTTCGACACATGAGGTTTCAAAAACATTTTGAGGAGGCCTGGAAATCATGATGAGCAGGCCTCCAGACTGCTTCTCATTGATCCAACCACATGCAACGTGGGGAAGTCAGAAGAGACTCAAATGTGTAAAACAGGAAAGTGCTGGAATGATAACAAGAAAGGGGAAAATACAGGATGAATACCTGGACTAGGAGAGTTGGAAGAGGCATTGCAGCTCTCTGAGGAGCCTGCTGAGAGAGACTGGTGTATTGCCAATGCGGTGGAGTGAGACACACATTCAACACACCACACTCTGTAAGGGCAGAAAAGAGGCTTGCGTCCCTTCTGGTATCGTTTCAAAACACCCACATTTTACAAGCTTAGGGCTGACTGGAGCTCTGACAGCCTACTAGTAAGGAGCTGCACTGCCAACTCAAATGCTCACAGTTTGAATCCACTAACTGTTTCTTGAAAAGAAAGAGGTGCAATCTTCTGAGTGATTTGCAGTCTTTGAAAATCCTCTAGAGGGCCAGCTATGAGTTATTTTTTTATTTGATGGCACTCAACAATGACAATGGGGAAGAAGAGGCTCATAGCCCTGAGAATTCATAGGCAGTTTGCTATGCCCAGTCTTGCCTGTCTGGCCCTTGGGGGAATTGTGTTGGTACCAGATTACAATTGTGTTGAATAAATACAAATCCAGGTATCCTGTTAGCCACTGCAGGGATTAATTTAATCCTATAGAGAACATTTAATTATATAGTCTAGACCCGAGGATCTGCTTCACAACATATATCCTCCCGGGGGGGGGGGGGGTCGCAGGGCGAGGGCAATCAGTTTCAAAATGTTTATGTACAAAGACCAAACCTTCACCCTCCAATTCCTCACTGCTGCTGAATAAGCAGAGTCTCCCCTTTACTGCTGGCAAACCCTCTCCTTGGCCAGCTTTTGCTGACCAGAGGCCTAAGGGGAAAGATCACAGGTTCCAGCCTTACTAATGCTTGACAAGCCCCCACCAGGACCAGGAAGGATCGTGTACTTCACAAGCAGGGAGGGAAGGATTAAAACCTCATTGACAGTAAAAAAAAAAAAAAACAAACACCCAACCTCATTGACAGAAAAAAACCATTGCTACAGCAGTTGGTCACTTAGAAGACATTAATTAAAATTTTACACAAATTAATGAAACGAAATTGGAATAACTCATTCACACTTAATATTTTAAAACGTATCACCATCCTGAGAGTCCCCACTGTAAAATCATCCCTTTATAAGGTACTGGACCTAAATGTTCTCTCTGCCCAGATGGTTGCTGCCTTTCTCCTCGATCCTCCTGCTGGTCCAGTGCACTCCAAGACCAAAGCGCCCCTTCCTTCTGTTCCTTTGCTGCTCCAGAAGCAAAGCTACCCTGACCCTCCACTCTTCTTATTTCTTATTTTTCCACCTCTCTCTAGCCCCTGGATAGGACGAACTGACCTGGGGTAATGAGGACAGGTGTGTCAGAGATAGTGAGATTGGCTCAGGATAGAGCAGGGTTCAGAGCTACTGTGCATAGGGTCACAATGAGTCACAGTCCACTTGATGGCACATAACAACCTCTAGCCTACCACAAATATACTCAGAGGTATTGCAATAATTAGTATTCCATAATGCTGTACGTTACTATTTTTTATTATTATTTTAGTTATATTGTTATGTGTCGTTGCAGCAGAACCATCTGATAGCTGACCCTCCAGCAGGTTTTCAGAGGCTGTAAATCCTACGGTAGATGGCCCATCTTTCTTCCAAGAAGCAGCTGGTGGATTGGAACTGTCTATCTTTGGCTTGGGAACACGACTCTATAATACGAGGCTACCAGAACTCCCTTGTCGATTACCATAGTGATGCACATTTGTTGAGCAACTACTATGGGCCAAGCTCCCTTCTAAATGAGAGAGTTCAGTGTATTCAATACCACCACAATCATCTAAGGCGTGTGTCGTGGTTAGTTAAAGATGAGGGTTCAGCGGCCAGATTGCCGGCTGGGATCGTGCTTGCCTAGCACGTCTAGGGTGGCCCGAGTGCTGTCTCTACAGCTCCTGAGTCTATGATTAATACTGTCACCGTTTGTGAAGGATGCGAAAATCTTCAGACGCCTGTGCTGTTAAATGAGAAAATAACTTCTCTCTGATCCTATCGCTCTTTAAGCAGCCCGCCCAGATCCCTGAGCTGAGAGAGAGGGAGGTGGGGGGACTACCCGCTGCCAACAGGGAGCTGAGTCAAGCTGGAGGGTTAAACCTTCCCAGTAGAGACATGCCACTTCCTCCAGAAAGTCTAGATAATTACAGTTTCCTCTAGGAAAGTCTTTCATTAGAGTCCACTCCAAGTTAGTTTCATGGACAAGCCCCCCAATGACTGTCCCCTGACGTGTGCCCAGCGATGAGAGCTGGCCAAACCCGTGTCAGCTCAGCCCGCCGCCTGCTGGGCTGGCGCTGAGATCCCACTGGAGAGGCGCTCGAGAAAAGCTCTCGGAGAAGGAGAAAGGGCTTTTCCAGGCTTCGGTGCTTCCTGTGCGTCGGGACCTCCTTGCAAGCGGGGAAGCCCGGGCTGTCCCGGACGCCGCCAGCCGAGCGAGCTGCGCAGGGGCGCCGCCGGGAGCCCCGCGGAGAGCCTCGCCCTGTGGCTCCCCCGCCTGGGCGCCTTCCTTTTCCCCTCGCCGAGCCCGAGCCTCCGGAATACGGCGGCTCGGCTCCTGCGCGGGCAGGGGACCCGGGTGCCCCCGAGGGGGCGCGGCGCGGCCGCTCCCAGCCTACCGTCTTCTGCTTCTTGATCCCCGACATGCTGGCTTAGCTCGCTGAGACTCGGAGCCCGGCTCCCGAGGGCAGACACTGCAGGACGCACGGATGGCGGTGGCGGCGGCAGACGCTGCTGCGGGACTCGGGGAAGGAGGTATAAAAAGGCTCCGCAGACACGTCGCACTTCCCTTGGCCCAGCCCCTCCTCCTACTCCTCCTCCCGCCGCCCGCGCTCCTCTCCGCCCCGTCGGCTCCGCCAACAGCGCCTGGCCCCGGGGACCCACCGCCGCCTGGGCGGGGGCCCGGGCCCGGCCCCATCTGCCGCCTCGCGGGAGCGCCCCCGGTCAGCCTGGGCTGGAGGCAGGACCGTGCGTCCCGAGGGGCAGGCTGGCTCGCCAGGCCCGGAGCTCGGGGGCCAAACGCTCGCCCTCTCCCTGGCGAGTCCCAGAGCGCCCCCCAAGTCCTGTTCATTCCAAGGCTCTTCAAAGAACTCCCCCTGCCCTTGGGAACCCAAGGGATGAGGAGTGAAGATCTCATTAGGGCAAGGATGCTTGAAATTCCAGGCTTGTTGGCATCGTCTTCAGGGGTCGCCACGGTCCCGTTCTCGCCTGTCCCGCTGCACGTTTCACTTTACAGTCGAGGTGACTGAGGCGCCGAAAGTTCCCAGTTGTTGTTATGTGCCAGGAGCTCTACTCAGGGACCCCAAGAACAGACCTGACCTCTGCCCTACCTTGTGCCATCCTCATTATCTCTGATACACTTGAGTCCATTGCTGCTGTCACTGTGTCAATCCAACTGGTTGAGGGTCTTCCTCTTTCAACGACCTTCCACCTTCCTTGGAATGACGTCCCTTTCTAAGGCACAGCTTCTCTTAGCAACCTCCCCGAAGAAATACTCTGGCTGCACCTTCTCCAAGGCCTGTCTGTTGGTTCTTTTGGCCAGTAGTCTTTCCCCATCACCACAGCTCAGAAGTGTCGATTTTTCTTCGATCATCCTAATTCATTGTCTAGCTCAGACGCGCAGCAAGTGATGAAAAAACTATGGCCTGAGGATTCAAACCAGACACATCTCAGCTGGCTTTACCAGTACCACCACACGTGATGATTAGAAAATTACTTACCTGTGCCCTTTGAACCAAGCATCCAGCTAAGTGTTTTGAAGCTCACGTTACTGTTCTTTTATTACAAACGAGCAGTTGGAGGTCCTGTTCTTCCTCACAAAGTCAAGTAAGCAAAGGCAGACCAAAGGTAGCTCCCCTACGTGCTTCAGCCATCTCAATAGGCATTCCTCTAACCCTTCAAAGTTGGTGCTCTGGTGGCCTAGAGGGTAAAACCTAGTGGTAAATTGCACTGTCAACCCAGAGGCATGTGGTTCCAATCCACCAGCTGCTCTTTAACAGAAAGAGGAACAATCTGCTCCCTCTGAAAACCCGCTGGAGGGTCAGCTATGTGTCAGTTGCAGTTTCACTGCAAAGACTTTGACTCTTTTTTTTTTTTTTTTTAAATAATACTGCTATGTGTTCAACTGGGAGGGTGCTTTGAGGAAAGTGAGGCACAGATTGACAGTCTTATGACCTGGGCTTTAAGTCTCCAACATGTTAGCAGATGGTAAGAGACAGCTGCTTTGAAAAATCCCAAAGCCTGGGATAGGCAGAGATAAGGATAGAAGGCATGCTTAGTGACAGGTGCCCTTAGGGCAGCTACTCGATCTCCAGTCTCTTTGTTTCTTCTTGCACAATGCCACCAACTGAGACATGACAGAGCACTCAAAGGAACTAAGAAGTCATTGAAGGCCATGCTTGTCGTTCCAAACCTGGCTGGCCTGTGAAAGAGCAAGTTATTCTAAGGAGGTTAGAAAGGGGCATTTCTTTCAGGTGTAGCTGTGTTTATGGAAGACGCTCAGCTTTGCAGGCTGATACCTGAAGAGCGGACTATCCATTGACTGCCCTTCTCCATGGGAATGTGGGAAAGAAAAACAAATCAAAAGGCTGGAGCTTAAAAGTCAGCCTGCATGTTTGTACAGTCTTGATATGTAAGGCCGGTTATTTTCTTACTCATTTTGAATATATGAGCTGCCACCACTCCTTTTCAAACGCGAGCAGCTAGAGGGAAAATCCTGGACTTGAGTTTCTGTTCTACAAATAACTAGCACATTTTGAATTTATGTGAAGTTTAAACAGCAAACATCCCATTTTTATTTCATTGGGAAAATTCTTTTGTATTGGTTCCAACCATACATTGGACCCTGCCAGATTTTGCCCCAGGAGAGAAGAGAAATTAGTGTATTTGGAGAAATATTAATTTGCATAATTGTTGTGCTTTGTTTCTTTTTTCAAGTTGCGTCTGGAAAACTGTTTTTGAAACAGGAGGAAGTTTAGGGCTAATCCCAAAGTACTGCTTCCTGAGAAAGAAACACATGATTGTTTACACCTGGAGAGGTTTTGAGTTCACTAGTTCAACTTCCCTGTCCTCATATTACAGATGAGCGGTGTAAACCTAGGAGTCCTGGTGGCGCGGTGGTAACGTGCTTGGCCTGCATTTGGAACCCACCAACCACCGCTCTGTACATGAACCTTGTGGCCTCTTGCTTCCACACCACATTTAATTCCCCCGCGGAACCCCTGAGTGGATTTGAACAACATGCTTTTGGGCTGCACCCTAGACAGCCCAACTCCCTACCCACTAAGCCACCAGAGTTCTCAGATGGTGACTATGAAATGGAATTCTCTCATAGGCAATGAATTTGCCTTAAGTGGAGAACATAGGAGGCAACTCCCCAGCATCGTCATTCCAAAGGGAATGCTGCGACACTGCCCCCTCGTGGCTGCAATGCACAAATACTGAACATAGTGGAACCCTCCTGGGAGAAGGATGGGCACCCTCATCCCATCAACAGCCTGTGAAAATCCCTCTAGAGAGTCAGCTATGGGTCACTTCTGACTCGAGGGCACACACAACTATATAAACATGCTTTGGATCAAGAACAACTTCGTAAAAAAAAAAAAAACAACAACTTCGTGAAGGTCCTCTATCTCTATGATCCAAACACTTTACCAGAACAGGAATTACCAAGATTAGCAAGGCACGATCTCTACTTTCAAGACACGAACTAGTAAATGAGATGGACTATCTCTTCTTTCTATTCCAGGATCATTTCAGTATAATCCATGACTGAAACAGTTAAAAATGATAGATAATAATCCTTAGCCATTCTATCTTGGCCTAAAATATACAGTTCACAAATATCTTTATTTGAAGATAAGGGCTTCTATTTCTGTATGTATCTGCTAGCCGGAATTTCACAGAACCCAAGTCAGAGTGCTTCTCCAGTAATTTCCAGTTTTGGATTCCACACAATGAAGTGAGAAACTAAGATAATTTACCAACCAATCTTAGTAGATGATACTGAGACTTTTACTCTTCATCTTTATTGTCTTCCCTGCTCCTAATTCAACAAATAGTACCACTTTTTAGCAACTTAGCTTTCCAAATCACCCATCTTATTTTTAAAGAGAAAACACAGTTCTTTCCCCTCTCACTCATATGCTACTCACTTAAGTCACATGTAGTTATGTTAATAATGCTAACAGGCATGACTAAAATAAATGAGTTTTGAAGCAAATATAATGCACACAGTTTAGGTGTGGAGTACGGAAGTTTTGGGGCATTCTAGAGATTTTAACAATCTAAGAATATTAAGTGTGCTTTAGACATCAATCACTATCTTTTTCCATAGAAATGGGAAGGATTAATTATACTAGCCAATCAGTAAAGAGGGAGCTCTTGTGGCTTAGTGGTAAGGACTTGCAATGCCAACTCAAAGGTACATGGTTCCAATCCACCCGCTACTCCTGTCCCATGGTTCAAATGCACCAGCTGTTCCACAGGAGAAAGATGAGCAGTCTCCTCCTATGTGATTTACTGCCTTTGAAAAGCCACTGGAGGCTCAGGTGTGATTTGGTTTGGGCTTGACAGGACACAACAACAATAACAACCATCAGTTAAGAGAGAGTCTGATGGGACATCTAGCTCAACTTTGAGAGACAAGATTTGAGGAAGAACAGGAAATACCACTTGAAATGAAAAAAAAAATGTGGGATTTCGCTCATTTACCCTGTCTGAATACCCACTGGAGAGTCAGCTATCGATTGGTTTCAACTTGACGGCACACAACAACCACCACCACCATCACCTTGCATGTCAGTCTGCTTTCATCAAGATTACAACCTTGGAAACACTATCACATTGTTATAAGCTAGAGTTGATGACAGTGTGTAATAGGTACCCTCCAAAGAAGGATAAAGGTGTACGTGTAAATTAGAAGATGTACATGAAGGCAGACAGTTACATGAAATAACACGGTATGTTTAGAAAAGCACAAGTGTATCATCTGTCTCACTGATTGAAGGTGCTGTACTAGAAGAGTAGAGGAAGGCTATACAGGAGGGCACGCTGCCTACAATCAGGCAGCAACATGATTTTACACATTTTCTTTTCCTTTTAGACTGGCCATGTGACAGACAACCCATTTGTTCAGTCTTTATGGATATTTCTGGTGTTCAGGAAGTCATTGTCCTTTGGTGTCCGGTATCTGGCAGGGAAAATGAGTAAAAATGAAATAACTCCAAGAGAAAGTGTTAAGTGCTAGAATGAAGGAGTATCCAAATAATAGGGAAGTACAGAAAAGGAGGCCAAGAGTGCTGAGCCATAGGAAGGCTTCTGCGGGTGGTGATATTTAATCTGAGTTGGCAAGGATGGAAGGAAGCTAGGTAGGAAGGTGATTGATCTGCTGCTTTCCTGATGGCCAAGGCTTCTTGCGCTTGTGTTACCTGTACATGAAACATCCTCTTCCTTTCATTGTTGTGCCTTCTCGCACCCTGACAGTCCAACATCACACTAAAAACATTGGTTCTATCACCAAAGTGCAGCCCACAGAGCTTAGGCAACCAGAACAGTTCACATGCTCAGCTCACACTCACGTGCCATTTCAATAATTTTGCCATGTCTTGGGTAAAAGTCAATTCAATGTTTCTGTCTATTCTTTGTAATAGTTTAAAAGGAAGTATATTTGTTCATGAGTCTATTTGCCATTCTAATAGCTTCCTCTGTAAAAAGTCTTTCTATGTCTTTTGCCCATTTTGTAATTGGGTTATCAGTCTTTTTCTTGTGGAGGCCCAGGAGTATTCTGTAAACTTTTGTTGTAAGTCTATTGTTTGAGATGGTATTACCAAGTGTTTGTTGCCAGTCTGTAGGTTTTCTTTTCACCCTGTTTGAAAGTTTTTGAGTGCACAGA